TTTTTTTTTTTTTTTTTTTATGTAAAGGTCGTAAACTGACCCCTTGCGTGGCCTGTTTCATTCTAGTCGCGATACTGGCTTTCGGCTTTCCGGTTCTCAACATGCGATCGACTATACAATTTCAATTTTTTGTTCTTTCGTATCGATTTTGAATCGTCTTATTTAAATGTATCATCATTTCCGAATTGCTGCTTTGATTAAGCAAATATCTTTTAAAACGAATTCCAACGATGTTAGAATATATAAAAATTAATTTATAAAATTATAATCTATATATGTATAAAAATTATAAGAATATAAAAATATTAATTTATCGTACTTTATCATTAATTTATTGCAAGTCTTATTATCATTTTTATGTTATCTCTGTGAAGGAAAACGCTGCATGTCACAATTTCAAAAAGTTTGCATTTAATTAAATCGTTTGCAAGAGTACAGGATTTATGTATCTACGACAAAAAAAATACACAAAAACAAATTTTATAGGTTCAAAGAAATGATACAATTTAACCGAAATCCAATAAGAAGAACTTTCAGTGATGTGAAAGTGAAAGCATGTGACATGCAGTGTTCTTTCGTACAGCCACAGATATTGTTTCTTGAAATCAAAATCATATTTTCCTATAGTTGATTATTTCCTAAAAACATCCAACTACTTACAATAGGCTCAGTGTACTAACCTATCAAAGTATATATTACGAGTATTATAGGCGAGCATATAAAAATAAAATTAGCATGCAGTATATACATAAATAGCAACATGTAAAAGTCAAATCTCGATGCAACGCTAAGAAATTTTTCTGTCTCGAAATTATCAGATTTTTAAAATTTTCCTTATATATCGATAAAAAGAGAAACAAAAAGAAAAAAAAAAGATAGAAATTTTCACCAAGTTATGGAAAATTTAATTAAAAATCAAACATTAATTTGTTAAAAAGAAGAGTTGTTTAATTTCAAAAAAAAAACAGCAAAGATGTAGCGACGTTAGATTTTTCAAAGTTTGCGACGATGAGCGTGATTTTGCAAGTCCTTGAAACCTAAGTCTAACTGGCTTGCTCCCCGACAATCTTATCCGTTCGACGAGATAACACACCGCTAATCTGCCGTGGACTTTACACCGTTAAAGCTAGGCATTCAAACAGCTTCCAGGATCGTACGCGCGAAACTCAAAGTCGAATTTGACGTCGCCGCTCGGTAGAGATCTTGCGCCACATCGCGAAATAAAATTCGACGATTGCATAATTTATGACCGACACGGGAAACACTGTCGTTTTCGAAGAATTTCTTGGGACCATCATAATTTCAATAACTCGATCAGAACGAGCAAAGTCGTTCCAAAAACGTTAATTTCAAACAAAAGAGATTCGTAACGATTACTTGTTTTTTTCTTTATCAGTGATAGTTTCTCTGATATTTATATGATATATACACATAAAAAATAATTTACATTATAATTGTTACAATACAATTTTTTAATATATTTCGAATTATTTTAATAATATATTCGGTTGTACTTATCGTGGGAAATTATCCAGAGCATCATACCTATAAATAATGCAATACGTCATTGATAAATAGACGGATAAAAACTAGACAATATAGGACGATGATATTACCAGTTGGATAAACATTGAATCGTTGCTCGTGGTTAATTCCGCGCGAAAAACGACAATTTTTTTTATCCAAGGGAGTGCTTGTCGGTTTCTCATTTATTTAAATATACCCGACGGAATTGCGCTCGATAATCATAACACAGCCAAGCTATATCGTGCGCGTTGTTATTTCTTGGCCCGATACTGTGGCGTGCGACGTCGTTGTCGAGCTGTTTTTCGTAGTTGGCGATCTCGCCGGGAGGCGGCGCACTGCTCGAGTCCCCTTTCGAAAATAACACACGGCCGGTTGACGTCATGTTGTCATGACTGCCGACTGCCAGCACCAACGTCGCCTCGATGTCGTTTTTCTGGTGCCTGAGCAGCGCAGAAAATTCGTAGACAACACGACTTGATTACATTTATCTGCTGCTGCTATGTAATTTCGAATTCGAGTTGCGACATTACTTTCACGATGCATCGTGCAATGATTTTTTTTTTTTATATATCAATGCTCTAACAAAATGTAATGTTACAAACTTATTTTATTCAATTCAATTTCGTCCATATCGTTGCTTTTTTCTTTTTTTCTTCCTCCTTCTAGCGATCAATCTCATTTCATTATTTTCGTTCTTCGTTGAAACAATTAGATTGTATTCGTATATTGGTACGACTGAGTTATTGACCTAACCTCTAAAGAGGCGCAGTGCCTTTGAATATTTTCCGTCGCTAAATATGCAAAATTAATGCCGCACCGAAAATTTTGTAGCATTTGAATTCAGAAACGGTTTCGATTATTCGATCTTGCAGTATCGCCGTTTCAATGTATGCACGCATGCTTAGCATGCACACATATAGCTTAGGAATGTACGACGCCACACACTGACTGGTTTTATCTACGGGGCTCCGAGTGGTTCGTGGAGCGCTTCGTGTGTGTTCGTTCTTTGGCTGACTAGATAGCTTTGACTCGTGTAGCAAACATTACCTCATCGTCAAGCATAGCCGGATCCACAACAAACCTCCTCTACTTTTAATTCTTCTCTCGTATCTTCTACTAGACTTGCTGGTAGTTGTAAGAAATCAAATAGAATTGAATTTCATTCAAGTAAACGTACTCGTCAAATTAAAGATATTTCGACTACTTTTTTATATGTATACGAAAAGAATTCACTTCCATTTCAAGAAATTTTTTATTTTTTATATTACCTTTTATTCGTCTTATTATTTTTGCCCTTTTTCTATATCAAGTGCAATTTCGCTTGACTCTTACCAAGAGTGACGCAAAAGCTGATTTTATTAATCTTCTCATGCGTATGCTGCAGTCAATCTAGATAGGCTTCACGCAGTGAACATTATCTTATTGCGAGCACAGTCGTCATGAATCTTTTCTAGTTCTGGTACTTCTCTCACGTTTACTCCATTGACCTACATTCCTGACGATAAAACAGAAATTGGAGCGAATTTGTTTATAGAAACTCTGTCATCAAACTTACTGTGTAATTTGTCGACATAATGACATGTATTTAACGATAATTATTTAAAGGAATATTGCTACAATTTTCCACAAATTTCTTTTGTTTATTCATCTTCGGTAAATTTGTTAATTGATTTATCTCATTTCATAAATTATTTAACAACAGAAACACTCTAACAGCTGTAATGTCGAAAAATACATATTTTGAACATACTTTTATTTGACTAATTTTAGAATAATCTGTTTCGCGAATTGACTACACAATTCGCTGATAGATGGCACTCGTGTAAAAAAATTTGTAGTTACGACAACGGTAAGTGATAAAGTCACCGTACTACAAAGGAAATTTTATACTTTATTTTAACGTTTACATAATACAGAATATAATGGATGAATGACGACTGTTTATTAATTTCTTAACAACTGTTATATATATTCTTGGCAATTTGTTTGTAACTTGGTAACCAACAATTTGTTGGTATTTCCGTGGTAACTTTCGATAAGACAATTGAATAGCAATAGATGTCGCTACAAATTTAATGTTATTTAATGAAAATGAAAAAAACTACTTGGAATATAAAAAAAGAACTACTTGAAATATGAAAAAAGAAAATGGTAAAGTAGTTTTATAAAATTTTGATACAAAAAATATTTTTATTTCAAACGTTTTTAATGTGCTTTACAGCCGGTAGCATTTTCATTGCCGTAGTCGAATTGCTCGTGACAGTTGCATCGTAAAAAATTCAAAGGCTATATAAGAACAACTTACCCTCAGAAATCAGTGTACACGATTCGGTAACACAGACGAGACTCAAAAGATTCTTCGGTTGTGACTGTAAGGCGCGCGAACCACAACCCTTAAAGATTTCGCGAGAGGAAAAGAGAGTGGGATGAGCATACTTCTTGACTTTGATTTATGGGCAGTTAAGAGCCATGCATTTCTGCCACACACAGCTAATCCGTTACACGGTAACTCCCCTCAGCAACCACCCAGCGGCCATCTCGATTCAACAAGTGCCCGGACCATGTTTCGCAAACATTGTTTGTTAGGATGTCCATTGAACTCTTCGGCGCGTTCACCAAGGTCTTCATCTCGAACATTTCAATTAATACGACTTATTGTAACTTAAGAAGATAACAAAATCTTCAATAAAATAGAAATTCGTTAAT